ATGCCTTTTTTTACTATGATGTTTTTTCACCTTTTTATGCCTTACTATACTATGATGTTTTCAGACATTTTTATGCCTTACTATACTATGATGTTTTTTCACCTTTTTATGCCTTACTATACTATGATGTTTTTAGACGTTTTTATGCTTTACTATACTATGTTTTTATATGTTTTTATGCCTTACTATACTATGACGTTTTTTTTTTACCTTTTTATGCCTTATTATACTATGACATTTTATGCCTAACTATACTTTGTCACCTATACTTTGTTACCTAACATTAGTTATTTTTATACCTTACTATACTACATTTTTGAGATATTATGCGAAACATATATGTATATGACATATATAAGTTCATGACATATTATACAATGACATTTTTACAACATATTATGCAATGACATTTTTATATTATACGACATTTATTATTTATGACATACAATAACATTTTTATCACATCAAGCAGTGACATTTTTATGACGTATTATACAATAACATTTTTTGACATATACAATGACTTTTTTACATTATACACATATTATACAATGTCATTGACTGACCTTAGTTGATCCATAGTATCTCAGGATGTCCTCAGAATGTTTTCATGTGTTCAGATTGTGATTGACCTCATTCAATGTCACAATGTGTTTAGAGTTTAAATGGATGTGTGTTCTCAGACTGCACTGGTTTGTTCATTGAGTTCTTGCATGCTGTCAAGGGATGGGGTTCGATAGCATTTTATTGAATCTGAATCCAAGTTCTGAATCTGCATTTTTTCAAATTGCTTATCCTTTTCTGTGGTGGGGAAGGAAAATATACGTTCATTAATCCTGTCCTGACTCACGTTCCTCCTTACTGGGGGCCTGTCTGCAGCTTCAGAAACAATAGCAGCTAAAGTAACAACAACACAGTGAATATTCTATTTTAACATTGAATGAACTGAATAAACTGCTGATTATTTCCTTGCACAACTCACTAAATATTACCTGTCGATGAACTTGTTTCACTGTTACAGATCGCAGAATATGGTGTTACACTGGCAGTAGTTATCAAAAATGCCGCAAGTTCTTACTTTGGACACGTTGAACGTTAGATATTTAAACAACTGACTTTCACAAACATTGACTTGTTGACTTTTGAACATTTAAGCTGATTCAACATGCATTTCACCAACTTGGATTCAAAATGGAACAAACTATCGGAACCCATCCCTAATCTTGTCTTGAATTGTTTGGTTTTCAGAAACATGACAACGGTAGAGTTGTTTATGACTTGTTATAATTTTACTTCTTTCTCTCCCATCACCCCTTTCTCTCTGTCTCTCTCCTTACCACCTTCTCCTTCTTTCCCTGCTCCCTCTTCCTCCTCTTGCTCTCCCATTTCTTGTTCCTTTCTCCAGATGATGAAGATAGACCCTATCAGTAGACCTATCCCTCTCCAGATACCTTCCCTCTCTCCACAACCCCTCCCTCTCTCTCAGCCTCAGACCCCACCCTCCCGGACCAGCTACACCGATGGCCTCATCCCATCTGAGGATTCCTCTCCATCACCTCCCTCGCCTCCGCCACCTCCGCCTCCTCCCCCTATTGCAAGTGTGGCCCATCAGTCAGCACCTACCTCCTCATATGTCAAGTACAGCACACTGGCTCGCCTGCAGAGCCAGAACCAGTCCAGGACACAGCTGCCAGGAGCCACCCCACCATCCCTCCCCATCCAGTCTACAAAACCAAACTACAATACCCTCCCAGCCGCTTACAGCACCTCCCCTCCATTACCACCGTCTCCTCCCCCGCCTCCTCCACCCACTGTGCCGGCTCCTGGCTCAGCCATGGCCGCGTTGAAATTTGGTCCATCTAGCCCCTCTGCTCTGCCACCACCACCCCCGCTGGAAGAGGAGATCCAGGAGTCCTCCTACCTCCCCCCTCCTCCACCAGAGAGCCTGGAGGCCAATGGGTTGCTGCTTCCTCTCCCTCCAGAGCCCATGCTCAACTCCTGTCCTCAGCTCTCCAACGCTGGCCTCCAGCAGTTCTTGGCACAGAAGTTTCCCAACATGGTGTATGACTTCAGCCCAGGAGTACCCGACGATGACTCTCCTCCTCCTCCTCCACCTCTGGCTGAGCTTTCTCCTCCTGCTTCCCTGCAAGCTCTCCGGCCCCTTTCCCCCAATGCGCCCCCTCCTGCGCCTCCAAAAACCTTTACTGGTGGTTTTCCCCCTCAAACTGCTCCCAAACCTTCTGGTCCCTCTTCCCTTCCCATTGCCCTCTCACCTGTGTCACCCACACCGCTCCACAGTGGCCACGGGCCAGTTAAAAAGCAGCAGAGTTTCTCAACAGGTCATTCCCCAAATCAGCCACCTCCCACATTGCCAAAGCAGCACAGTCTCTCTTCCAAAAACCTTGCCCTCTCTCCTTCCTCCTCCTCCTCTTCCGTCTCCATTGCAGCTGCTACCTCCTCTTTGGTCAAACAGATTGTCAATCAGTTCCCAGGAAATGCTGCCCCTTCCTCTCTGCCTGCCTCCAACTCCATGGAAGGATCTAAGTTCTCTGCTCCTCAGTCTCCTCCTGCCGTCAAGGCCAAACCAAAATGGCAGCCAGGAGGCGTTGTGGCGCCACAGTCCCCAGAGTTCCCCCCACCTCCTCCTGACAGCTCCTTAGGAGATTTCCCTCCTCCTCCCTCTTCATCCTCGTCCAGGACAGGCTCCCCTATAAAGAAGTCGCCTTCCACCTCATCCACAGGATCCATCAAGCGAGGGCCTCCACCAACCCCACAAAGAGCCTCCTCCATTCGGTCCAGTTCAGGCGAGACTCAAGAGGAGAGGCCAAAGAAGGTGGAGAGCCTGGTCAACAAATTTGGCCAAACTCCTCAGACGGGTACATCCTCAAGCTCCTCGTCAGCGACTGGGTCTCCTTCAAAAGATTCTTCTGCGCTTCCTGCTCCGCTCCCAAAGCCGGGGAAGCTGAACTTGGCGAACCTCCCGTTGGCGCTCCAGGGGCTACAAACAGGCCAGCACCATCAGCCATCTGACTTCCCATCCCCTCCTCCCCCACCTCCCCCCTCCCAGCCTACTCACCTTGAGTCTCCTGACTACTTCCCACCTCCCCCCAGTGACTTTGAGCTTTTCCCTCCTCCTCCCCACCCGTCAGAGTTCCACCAGACCCCTAAGGTCGCTGTGGTGAACCCCCAGCCTCAGATGCAGCCGCATCAACAGTCAGCAACCTCCTCCATGTCATCGTCGTCATGGAAACAAGGCTCACTGAAAAAGGGGGCAGTCCCTCCTCCAACACTGAACCGGCGGAGCAGCAACACGACCCAGTATGACAATACAATTTCAATGCCCCTCTCGCCGCCTCCCCTGTCTCAGACACCACCTCCTTCCCTGTCCTCATACTCCTCCTCCTCCTCCTCTCCCGTCCCCCCCACCTCCCCGAAATCAGCAGGGCCGGTGTCGCTGGCACTAAAGCCTCACTTCCTGGAAGACCTCAATCGCACTCTTAAGCGGAAGTCAGTGTCTCGCCATGGCTCGCTCACCTCCTCCCACCTCATCTCCTCTAAGATGGACCCTGTGGGCACCATGGACGACATGGCGCTCCTCCCGCCACCCCCTCCGGAGCTAATGCAGCAGCAGCAGCAGGGCGTCCGGGGACACTCCCAAACTTTGTCTCGCCACCACACGCACTCCCACTCCACCAAACATGCCAACATCTCAGGCTATGCAACGCTGCGGCGAGGCCCACCTCCCGCTCCTCCAAAAAGGGACCAAAGCACCAAACTGACCAGTGACTGGTAGGGAGCAAGGACACTGGGTGGAGCCTAAAGAACTGAACTGACTATTTAGGTCTCATCGTTACTGCAGAGAAGAAATAATCGATGTCTGTCTTGACTTGTCCGTCTCTCCTCATCCTAAACCATCCACCCTTGGATCTCCGAGCAAGTAGCAAACCGTGTTTCCTACTCTTAATCTCAGATTATGATTGTTCCTATTATCCTCATTATTACTATCATTACCAATACATGTTTAATCCAATGACATGAGCAAAAATACATATATATATATATGTATATATATATCTGTATACAAGCAAGCCAGAAAAATCACCTATCAAGCTTTTTTCACAATGTCTGTGCAGCTTTGCATTGAAATATACAAAAGACAAGACTTGAACGACAACGGCAACAGAGACAATTTGCTGCAAAATAACTGGTACTGCATGGAGCCGTGGCAATGGAAGTAACGTTACTGATGAAGGGAAGGAGGGATTAATGGAAGGACGCGAAAGCGAGATGGCGTGTACAGAAATGTTGAGGGGTTGGGGGGGCTGTGGGTGGGGGCAGTCTTAGAGGGAGCATTGCCATTTATTTCAAACTTTTTTTGTGTGTGTTTTTATATAAGATTATTTAATACTGGAAAGATATTGTTATTATAATTATTTTAAGTTTTTAAGAAGTGTCAGAAGAGAATGAGTTTGACTGGACATGGGTCTGTATTCTCAAAAATATGATGAAGTGTTGACCTGGTTACCAAACTAGCATACAGCTAGTTCCACTGAGTTTATATATTTAGATCATGTGATCTAAACATATTTCTTTAGATCAGAGCTTCTTGGCTGATTTTTGTTGACTTACAAGGATAAGACTTGATGTTTAAATGCACACTGATTTTACACTTTTTGTCAGTCAGCTAGAGAACCACCCTGTAAGGTTGTGCTCAGATTACAGGTGTTTCTAAAATCCCAACCAAGATTACAATTATTACACCAGAGGGAACTACACATCAAGTTATTCTCACGTCTTCCCTTCCCTCTGTAAAGTTAGTCTTGCACATTTAGACATACTTTTCCTTCCTCTCAGCTGTCCACATAACCCATCCAGATTTCAGTTTGTTCATTTTAATCAGATCTGACTCTGGGACCAGAACCTCCTGTAGTCTGAGCTCAGCCTTTGCACATCAGTCAGTCAGCGACATCAAACAAATGTCCACATTTTCATGACAGACTTGATTACCACCTTGTTTAAACAGACTCTGTTCCGTGAATTCATCAGTGAGTCAGTCAGCTTTGCAGTCAGTGTTTTGATAGCTTGTAGACCAAGCAGCTAGTCAGCTACAATGAACTGTGTGAAAGAAGGTGATCATCAATTTGCTAGTTAATAAATCAGTCACTTGTTTGTCATCGTAACGACTGGTCAATCACTTTGCTCGTTAGTTATTAAAAGGTGTGAGTCCACTTAGCGTTTAGTGATCAGAGTAGCCTGGGTGAACAAGTGCCTGAAAAACGAAACACTCGTGTGGTAACATCATATCCTGCTGAAACTTTACCTTCAGTGATGCCACTCTTTTGAAGTTTTGAAGCCTGGAGTTTAGGTTTACCATTCACACACTGCCAATTTGATCAGACACTGTGGCCAGAAAAATCCTAATTTGGAGCAAATGTAAGAGGAGCTGATGTGGGACAAGAAGCAGAAGTTAACATAGGTGAGAGTGATTGTCTTTGACACCTGCAAATCAAGAGATTATACTCCTCTTTAGGCCTTAATTTCTCATTAATCATCATGAGAGCTCGTATTAGAATGGGTCAAGGTATACTTTGGCAGACAACAGAGGCCTCATGCAATTGCAGGAGTCTCCCATTCAGATCTTTACATTTGAAACTAGGGCTGCAACTAACAATTATTTTCATGTAGCGAGTTCTGAAGAGTTTTGTTCATAAAATGTCATGAAATAGTGATAAATGCCTCTTATCTCCCACAGTCCACAGTCATGACTTCAGATGTCTTGTTTTGTCCAACGGTCCAAAACCCAAAGACATTCAGTTCACTGTTGCGTATCACAAAGAAAATATTCAAATCCTCAAATTCATGTTTGGTATTTTTGCTTTAAAAATGACAGAAACAATTAGCTGATTATCAAAATAGTTGCAGACAAATTTTCTGTTGATCATCTATTGAATTAATGAGCTCCCATATCCAGTAATCACATCTCATTTCTGTCCTGTAGTAATTCCAGTGGTTTGTCTCTGTTTGTACTTACAATTACATTTATGTTGTAACTTTGAACTCCAGCCTCTTCCACTGTGACATGTATTATTATGAATGAGTGACACTGGGCATCTTTTAACCAAATTTCAACCAGATCATACTTAAGAGTTGAAACCATTAACTGATTAGTCAATCGACAGCAAATGAATCTGCAACAAGTTTTGTTTTTGTATTGACTTATGAATTTTGTTGTTTATTTTTCCATCATCCAAACTAGAAAATTCAAAACCTTTGGGCACTTGGGGATTTTTCACTACTTTCTAACACTACTGACATTAACCTAAAGTGCAGGTTCCCATATAAAACACAAAAGTAAGACCACTCTTATAATAAAAAAAAAAAAACTGATGCCAGGAGGCAGGTGCAAGCACTTAAAAAGCAGTGGCACTTAGAGAAAGATGCCTAGTGGATACAACCTGGGTCAGTTTGGGAATCAGCAATCTAGTAGTCTAGCTTGTAAATCAGTACATAATTTGACTCTGGTTTTAGCAACATGTTTGAAAAATGTCTTAGTCAGTGCAGTATTCTCGTTAGTTAGCCTGTGACGGCTACATCCGATTAGGTAGCCAGCTGGATGAACCCTGTCAGTCGAGTAGTCTGCTGCTATATCCAAGCATCCTTCCACACTCTTATAGCTACAGAATCATGGTCTGTCATTTTAAAAGAAATAACTGTTTAGATCAGCTGATAAAGGCTGTATCATTTCCTCTTAATAGTTTTTTTTTTTTACACTTTATGTGCAGCTGAACCTGTTTTACTGTTTTTATCTCCCTTGCAGCCTCTAGATTAAAATCTATCAGCATGCCGTTACCATCACCAGTGCAACAGCACAGATGCCAAAAATGTGATATTACTGCTCCAGATTATTTGATTTTTAATGTGCAATCGTTTGTTTTTGAAGCACTCTGATTTAATTTTAATGTGCCATCCTGGTAAAAAAAAAAAAAAAAAAAAAAAATTATTTCAATTCATTTCAAATTTGTCTGTTTTGTATTATTGTTAGACGTAAAGGGGGAATTCATCCAAGAGAAGTACTTCCTTTGCCCACAGTCCTGCAGGAAGATAATCACAAGGCCTACATCATGGTGCATCTGAGTGACATTCAAGAACAACATACAGTTAAACACTGTCAGGCCTGCTGTTGCATTTAAAATAAATGAGTCAAACCGAAATGCAGATTCTAGAGTTTTTACCTGGTCGAATTAGATTTTTCTAAGGCCTTGAAAATTTGGGGGACATGAGGAAGTGTGGAAGATTGATTTTCAAGTATGTTTGAGTCATTGTTTTTAAGCTTCCTGTGACATCTGATGATAGATGCAGTGGCGCAGTCAAATGTCCCAGCTCCTGACAGCATACTGCACATCATATTAAACCAAAAAAGTCACACTAGTGTCAACACGCTCCGCTCTTGGTGAATACAAAAAGTTATATTATTACCTTCAAATTAAATCTGTATGGTCATGCTTTCAACAAAATCTCTTGTGTGTATGATATGGTTGGCTTTCCAAGTATCTTAAGTTGTGGGAAAACTGTTGGTAACATCAATGATTGTCAACAAAGATGGGCGTTATCTTGTTTTTCAAATATGGTATATGATTCTGTTTTAATTACATTTCAAACCTCTGTTCAGGAACAAAAAAAAAAAGTGGACACACTATTTCTAAAATCTGTACATCACAAACTTGTGAACTCTGAGCTACCAGAAACTTTAGTTACAGTCAATAAGATATTGGTAGATTGGGCAAACAAGCTCACTTGAAGGCACAGTATGAAGTGAAAGTTACAATTTTAGAGAGGTTAAAGGTCGGAAAACTCATTGCTTTCAATCCCTGTCATAAAGAGTTGTGTAAGGCAACAGGGAAGCAGGAATATCGCCCGTTTTCTTGCCCAGACGCTTGTGATAAATAAAATGTTCAAACCACGACTATGTTGCAAAGATATTGTGTCATATGAGGGAAAACACAAAGGGTTCAACATCTAAACAAAAAAATTAATATCACTCAGAGTGCACACCACCATCAAGGCCACACAATCATCCTACTTTGTTATTTAAGTAAGAGAAAATGTTTGTAATATTTTGACTTGTCAAAATAGGAATAGCTGAGGTGTTACTACTGAGGACGGTCAGTACAAACACAGTTAAAACATAATGTTGATTAGATGATGGACATTTGTTTTGGAGGAAAAAGCCAATTAATATACATGTGGTAATTCTGCTGGAGCACAAACTAAAGGTAAAATGACACCAGATTGTTTCAATCCAATTTAAAGGAATGAATAAATTACAGTAGGTTCTCAGGTTTGTCACGCTACCTAATGCTAAAACACGTGTATGCCAAGCAAGTGGAGCAGAAAGACAGTAAGCTGACTGATGTGGACCAATACACAGAAGCAAACAGGGCAGGAACCTGCAAGTCAACAAGTCCAGACCGAAGACTGCAACAGCTCCCAGCTGTGAACAGATGTGCAATGTCAGAGCAACAGAGTCAAGGGCCACAAAACTCTGTCAGAGGGTACAAGGCTTTTTGCCCAAAACATAACAAGCAGACGACCGTTAAGTTTCCTCTTGGCTAATTTACCCCGAATAACCATAAATACCACGAGTGACTGGCTTCACAAAGAGACATAAGTCAAAGATACTGTGTGAGATGAGAGGGACAGGTGCATTCAGGTGTTTACAAAACAACCGGAAGTTAGTTAATGTAGTTTTTCACTTCACAGCTCCAGCACTGACTCCGCTTACTGAGGCACTTA